TCTGACCCTCCTTCTCACTGCTCCCCCTGCCCAGTTGCTCCTCCCACCTGGCCATGACCACAGCCCCTGCTGGGACCCTGGCCCAGCTCTGAGTCCCGGGACCCTTGGTCCCCTCCCCCAGGCCATGGCCAACTCAGGCCTCCAGCTCCTGGGCTACTTCTTGGCCCTGGGTGGCTGGGTGGGCATCATTGCTAGCACAGCCCTGCCGCAGTGGAAGCAGTCTTCCTACGCAGGCGACGCCATCATCACCGCCGTGGGCCTCTATGAAGGGCTCTGGATGTCCTGCGCCTCCCAGAGCACCGGGCAAGTGCAGTGCAAGCTCTACGACTCGCTGCTCGCCCTGGACGGTAGGCCTGAGGCCGGCGGGGTGGGAGGTGGGAGGTGGGAGGTGGGAACAGCAGAGGGGTCTGAAGCAAGCTTTCCTCACAGTCTGCTGTCTGCACTGGGCTCCATCCTCCAGCCCCCACTCTACAATTGCCCACTACTGCCCTGTGCCCATCGACAGTCCAGACCAGCCTGCTGCCCTGCAGGAGGGGAGGGCTCTAGGGTCCAGATTCCTGCTCTGTCACTGTAACTTTGAACCAGTCACCAAACCTCTTCCCATTGTGATGTTCTCGTCTCCAAAGGGGAATACTAATACCTGTGGCACTCTGAAATGCTCAGTTAAGACCCTTCACCCACTTCTCCCCACACTCAGCAGACAGACACACACTGTACAATGCACACCTGCTCCCCAGTCCTGCTCCCAGGCCTGTGTGCCAGCATATGGGTGCACGCACACGCATGTGAACACACATGCACACGCAGGCACACAAACACACACGCTCGTGCACATGCATGCACCGACAGGTGCGTCTGCATGCAGTCCCTCTCCTTCTGGGGTGTGGAGTTGAGCCTGACAGGCACCGCCGAAGCTCTAACTCTGGGGTGGAGGTGATCCACCTGCAATCTGCCCAGGACCCCCCAGGGCAATCTGCTCCCCATGGGAGCTGGGAGCAGAGCGGCCATCAACCAGCCCCATTGTGCCAGTTCAGGCTGGTCAGTTCAGGCAGGTCGTCTAGCCTCGCTGAGGGACTCAGGTCTCCTGAACGCCCCCCAGGGCCCAGGCCGGAGCCACGCACCCATGAAGAGGCAAGCTTCTAGCTGCCATGGGCAGAGGGGAAAGTGACCGTTGTCTGAATGGCTGCTGGGGAGGGGTTGCTGCGGGGCTCAGGCTGAGTTGAGCTGGGCCTCAGATGCCCCCAGCTCTTCCATCTACCAAAGCTGAGGGGACCCTGGAGCTGCCCTCAGCTGCTTGGGAGGATGGGTCAAGCCCAAGAGGGAGTCCCCAGGCCAGAAAGCAACAGCAGAGTGAATCATACCGCCAGAAAAGCCTGCAAGGGCGAGCGGACTCTACCCCCACACCCTGTCCTCCTGACACAGGCTGTCACTCCTCGCTATCCCACACCTGCCAGCAGTTGGTCTGATCTGCAGGCCAGCTCCTACTCAAGCCTCTGTCAAGCTGGGCTCCTTCCACCAACCCCAGGCACTGACCCAACCCCCATCCCCGCCAGCCCGACTCAGTGTCACCCTGCCCACCCTAGGTCACATCCAATCAGCACGGGCCCTGATGGTGGTGGCTGTGCTCCTGGGCTTCGTGGCCATGGTCCTCAGCGTAGTTGGCATGAAGTGCACACGGGTGGGAGACAGCAACCCCATTGCCAAGGGCCGTGTCGCCATCGCCGGGGGAGCCCTCTTCATCCTGGCAGGTGAGTGCCCCTCACTCCTCGACAATCACAGCCATGGCAGGCAGCCCCAGCCCCAGTGGCCTCGGGGGACCAGAGCTGAGCGCCCCTCTGCTTTGTCCTTAGGCCTCTGCACTTTGACTGCCGTCTCGTGGTATGCCACCCTGGTGACCCAGGAGTTCTTCAACCCAAGCACACCTGTCAATGCCAGGTGGGTGCCAGGGCTTGGGTCTTTTGCTTCACCTCCTCTGGGACCACTGACCTTTGTCCACTGGATCACCTGGCGGGGGAAGTGGGGGACAGGGTCCAGCTGCTGTCCCAGAAGCTTTAAATGGGGGCGCCAGGAGTAGTGTGCTGGGGCCTCCATAGGGTCGGGAAGCCTTTGATGGGCCCCCAGGTGCAGCAAGGACTCTCTAAGGACCTAAGTGCCCTGACTCTGGGTTTCAATCCCACCTCTGGCCAGGTGCAGTGGCTCACGCCTGTAATCCCAGCACTTTGGGAGGCCAAGGTGGGTGGATCACCTGAGGTC